AACGAAACATTTCCTCTGTTTCATTTTCATTTCAAACACTTAATTTTCTAGTTTTTCTTTGAGAATCTTATAATGAGATTTTTTCTGAGATATAGATAAAGAGTATTTACTTTCTCCTTATAAAATATAGTGAATCTTTCGTGATATTCTATTCTTCTGTTAGTGTTCGTTTTGTTAGTAGGTATGCAGCGCAGATTCTGAATAAGCGATGAGACAATTACTAAATCTTTTAAAAGTTTTTATTATTCGAAAACCAGTACAGTGAATGATTTAAATGAAAAACCAGAAGCATGTTTTCTTTTAAAAAATAAGTAATGAAAATAATAAAAGTAATGGACTTCAAATGAATGCTGCTTCAAATTGCACAAGTTCAAAGTGGATAAAGTTATGGCAAACCACAATAGAAAGCAAATAAACAAATGTCATTCAAATTTCCATCAACTGCGAAAAGAGAGAAATTAAGCAAAAAATCAACTTATGATTTAATAGAATTATTATATTTAATTCATAATGTTTAACTTTCAAGTGTAAAGAAAGCAGCTACACCAAAAGCAGTCTTTCAATATTAAAATTTGAAAATGACACTAGTACTTTGAACAAATATTGTTTAATGAAAGAAAACAAAAAAAACCTTAACCTATTAAAAATGATGACGATAATAGTGTGATCATAACAAAGGTGATGGTTAGAAAACCACAACTCACAAAAGTCCAGTTTTCAGCAAAACAAAAAAGAGTAATATTGTTTTAATAAGAATTGGCTATAAGAACGCAAACAGTCAATGAAAAGGCGAGATAGAATAGAAAAAAAAAACAAATAATATATCAAGAAGGATTTCACACGAATGTATTCCATTTTGAAAATCTCTTTTTGCAATTTTGAAAAAACAAGTGTTATATAACAAATATTGAATATTCGCGTGTTATTGTGAACTTGGTGGTGTATCAGGATGAAGACATTTCTTTTTATCTTCCATTATCTCCAATCTTTTCTTTCTCATGTCCACGAGAATTTCGGATGCTCTGACCACTTCTGGATCTGTTTCTTCCTGTTCCTGCAACAATAAATATTTTTAAATTATTATTACTTGAATTCAATTTTTATACAAAAGAAAATGAAAAAATATCTTTCGAATAAATGTCAAACGTCTTGCACGATCACGGCTCAAACCCCGGACCGTTAGGTTAAGAGCCTAACGCTCTACCGACTGAGCTAACCAGGCACTTCCGACGTCTTTCATTCTAACGATTTTCGTTTTCTACCAGCGCAATATTTTGTCTCTGTGTCAGCAGAACGTTGTCACCATCTTCCGATTTCCGAATCGAATTTCTGAGAAATTATCCACCGCGAGATTCGCCGTGTTATCGAAATGCGATAAATAGATTCGTCGTCGACAGAAAACTTGAATGTAANGAAATATATGTAATGCATTTAATAGTTGTTTGTATCTGACAAATTTGGATTCTAAATTCTGCTATTCAAAATTTGCAGTTCAAATTTGTTGAATTATGCAATGCTTAAAACACAAGTAGAAGTATTGTTTCTCAGTTAAGTTTATCTTTGTTTCAAGGAGGCAAACTTCTGTGCTGCTCTGGTAAATTTTTTCAGATATTGTTAGTCTGATTAGGGATCATTTAAATATGATGTCTGTACTGAGGAGGGGATATGTAAAAATTTTGTTACAGGGTAGGGGAGAGATGTTAGCATGATGTTAAAGATTTTCTATTCGAAATAATTTTTATTACCAAAATCATTAGGCAGAAATATTTTGATCAGCGATCATATGGCAAGTTCTTGCTTATTTAATAGTTGCAGTTTAGTAGAAACACTGTACTAAATATGCTCTATTAGAGGTACACTAATAGAACTTTCAATATGAAAAGATGATTGCAACAACTAAACTGTATCTGTAAAGGTTTAAAGATATGCTCCAGTTTATCTTTTGGTGGTATCATATTAAATGTAGTTATAGTACAATGTCATCAGACCCTTCTATAGTAAATCAGTGAATTTTGTTTTTTAATTAGCCTTGCCTTAATAAAAAATACAAATAATGTATTTTAAATCTGTTTTTTACAAAAAAGCTTGATTTTAATATTGGGGTGGTTGATCAAGTATGACATCAGTGTGGAGGGTGTCTAAAAATTGGTAACAAAATGTGATGGAAGGAGGTAGATACTCATAAAAAGGATTTAAAATTAGTGACTTCCTATTTGAATGAACCCATTAGGGAAAGAAGTCAACACAATATTTAAGTTTCATCAATCAAAAAATGGCAAAGTATTCTTAATCTCAAAGCTTTCAGATTTTTTTAAATTTTGGAATTAAATCAAATTATTTACTGCATCAAAATTTCTGTCTAGTGAAGTGTNTAAGTAAGTAAGTAAATAATTGTGTATATCACTAACACGTTTTTTAAGTATCACATTAATATCTTTCTCTTAAATTGAACATTGATCGTCAAATTAGAACATTTTCAAGCATATTATGCGATGGAATAAGTGAACAAACTGAACGATTCAAATTCAACAGAGTTCGGATTTATTCAAATTTTGATGTTCGATCCAGCTTTTCACCTGAAGAAGAGCCCAGAAGGGGTTATAAAAACGTTTGTCGTTGAATTAACAATTAGATACGCATCGGTTATAGGTTCGGTATGTCATATTTACTTTAATATCTTCTAATGGTCTGTATTATTCTTGCAATTTGTGTGTTTTAACTTTAATATTGAGTTTAGGGATTCTTAAGTTGTAATCCAAAATATTGTTAAAATCAATACAGTAGAGCATAGGTTATCCAAATACCCATCAACTGAAACATCGGTTAACCAAAAGTGTTCCAGTCGGAAAATTCAAATTTCTGCTAGGGCTGTGGCGTTGCATCACTCTTCCTCTCCCTACCAAACTGAACTGTAGGCCTAGTTTAATGTATTACATTATGTAAGGTATGTATTTATAAGACGTGTGATACAAATTATATACAGTACAATTTTGTGTTTAATATATTTTTTTGTAAATGATCAGTTATCCGAACAACCCCAGTCCCGAATTGTTTTGGATAATTGATGCTCTACTGTAGCTTTAATAACTATAGGTGTGCATTTTCTTCATACATAGTGAATTTAACCAATAATATTAATAATTTGATTCAGGTATTTATTCATGGCTTCTATAATTTTCTCCAGTTTAAAAATCTAATTACCATAAATATAATAACATTGTCTTATGTCTTATTTATAAATACTTCTTTTTTCTTTGTTTTCTGCTAAGTGTTTTGTGCTTGTTGCCAAATACTTTTAGAGAAATTCTCTAAATTTTATTCTATGAATCATACTTCAAACTACAAAATTTTTTAAAAAAACTGTAGTAAAATCCACTTATGCTTTCTCAAAAAATAAAACTGAAATATATGTAATGCATTTAATAGTTGTTTGTATCTGACAAATTTGGATTCTAAATTCTGCTATTCAAAATTTGCAGTTCAAATTTGTTGAATTATGCAATGCTTAAAACACAAGTAGAAGTATTGTTTCTCAGTTAAGTTTATCTTTGTTTCAAGGAGGCAAACTTCTGTGCTGCTCTGGTAAATTTTTTCAGATATTGTTAGTCTGATTAGGGATCATTTAAATATGATGTCTGTACTGAGGAGGGGATATGTAAAAATTTTGTTACAGGGTAGGGGAGAGATGTTAGCATGATGTTAAAGATTTTCTATTCGAAATAATTTTTATTACCAAAATCATTAGGCAGAAATATTTTGATCAGCGATCATATGGCAAGTTCTTGCTTATTTAATAGTTGCAGTTTAGTAGAAACACTGTACTAAATATGCTCTATTAGAGGTACACTAATAGAACTTTCAATATGAAAAGATGATTGCAACAACTAAACTGTATCTGTAAAGGTTTAAAGATATGCTCCAGTTTATCTTTTGGTGGTATCATATTAAATGTAGTTATAGTACAATGTCATCAGACCCTTCTATAGTAAATCAGTGAATTTTGTTTTTTAATTAGCCTTGCCTTAATAAAAAATACAAATAATGTATTTTAAATCTGTTTTTTACAAAAAAGCTTGATTTTAATATTGGGGTGGTTGATCAAGTATGACATCAGTGTGGAGGGTGTCTAAAAATTGGTAACAAAATGTGATGGAAAGAGGTAGATACTCATAAAAAGGATTTAAAATTAGTGACTTCCTATTTGAATGAACCCATTAGGGAAAGAAGTCAACACAATATTTAAGTTTCATCAATCAAAAAATGGCAAAGTATTCTTAATCTCAAAGCTTTCAGATTTTTTTAAATTTTGGAATTAAATCAAATTATTTACTGCATCAAAATTTCTGTCTAGTGAAGTGTTACTGGTACTTATATTAGGTAGTAATTTTTATTATATTTTGAAAATAAATTTATGACTCAAATTTTATGGTTAATTTTGTTATCTAAATATATAAAATTGCTTGTCCTGACTGACTCATTCATTCATTCACTGATTCATCATCGCCCAGAGCAAACCGCTTAACCTAAAGAGGTGAAATTTGGTACACAGTTAGGGTACGTCATGGAAACGCANGATGATAAAAATTCCATTAAATTTCTTGTAAATAATGTAGATAAACTTTCATTATATGAAAAATTATCTTGAAATGATTTCTTCCTGAAGTTTGAGTTAAATATACTGAAGAAGGCAAGACTCCAAATGCAGTGATTCACAAGATGTAACTTTTTACAGATAATATAAATAAAATTCCATCACATGAAGTCAATAATACTGTTATTCTGTTCTTAATTTTAAAAATAAAGAACAAAGTAAATCAAAAACTATCCCACCCTAATATAAAAATTGTTTTGCTGTTTGAATGTTATAATTTTAAAAGAATTAACAAATATTCTGTTAAAAAGTAGTGTGCCATCTAATAGAATTTATTTAATTAGTTTGTTGTTAATTCTTTTAAATTCTGAAATTTAAATGAAACTTTAAGTACTCAAGTGGATAAACTAGTTTTTAGTCTTATAAAAACTAATCTTAGACTAGTTATTTTAAGATTTACTTCATATATTATATTTATTAACATAAGCACTTTAGAACACTAAATTGCCCTAATATTTGAAATGTCTTAGGTATGAAAATAACACATGCTGATATAAATCAGAAGAATTGACTTTATGCATGTTCAGATTTGCAGCTATTCTTAATTAAAAAGGGGAGTGCTGTCTGATTCTTGTGGCTGCTGGTGTGAAAATTTTTGTGCTCTAGTGATTTGACTGATTTTTCTTTTTTCTTTGAAAAATGTCAGAGTTTTAGGCTCAGAAAAGGAAAACTTTTTTTACCACTATCTCAAGACAATCACCATGAAATGTACAAAAACAAATTGGAAGTGAGGAAAATGACTTGGATAAGTGCCAAACAGGAGATTAATGTTGAAGAGGGAATTTATCTTCTGTTAAAATTGCAAGCTTCTTCAAATAGTAAACTAAAAGTACTTTTAGAACATTTAGGTAGAATGCAAGCGTGGATTGAGAATATAGATACAGCATTAGTAGATGGTGACACTAGACTCTCTCCTCTTGAGCCGATAGAGAAAAAGGCTGTTAAAAATGCCAAATCAAATACAGAAATAGACAAAATATGCAATAAACTCCACAAAAAGTTAATGAAACTAGAAGATAAAGAAAGAACAACATTTTTAATCTTAGGTTTAGAAGATAATGATAAAATGGATGATTGTTCAGTTAAGGTTCAAAAACTTTTAAACAATAATTTAAAGATTTCAGCTGTAAATATTAAACATGCTTTTAGAGTTGGAAAATTTAAACCAAAAACAAAAAAGACTGTTACTTGTGAGTTGTTTAATTTTGAAGATAAATTAAAAATTCATAAAAATATCAGTAATTTAAAAGATTCAAATATATTCATTAATGATGACTATTTGAGGAATACCAGACTTATCAGAAACAAATTAATGCTATATGGTAAAGAAATGCATTTAAAAGAAGCTAAGTTTGTTAAATTATGATATAACAGATTATTCATAGATAAGATATTTGCATGTAATTACAATGGTGAAATCTTCCAAACAGATGGAGAACAATGTTTTTTTAGGAATATAGTTTATAATGACAAACAACATAACCTTAATGACAAAGATGATAACATGAAACTTCTTTTCTACAATATTGCAGGTTTACATAATAAATACTGCTTCCCTAACTTCTGGAACTTGATATATAATATGGATATATTCTGTCTGGTGGAAACATGGCATACATCTTTGACAATTGAGTCAATTTTTTCTGATGACTATAAAATTTATCATCAAATAGCTCATAGTTGTGAGGGGCCTGGAAGACCTGGTGGAGGCTTAATTGTCGGACTCAGATCAGATGTAATTTCTAAGGTTAAACTGATATTTCAGACATAGCTTATACTGATTTTACAACTAGACACTGAGGAGTTAACTAATATATAGCTAATAGTGTTCTATATCCCGTCCGACAGTAATTATGATTATTTCAAAAATACTTTGTTGATTATAGAAGATTACGTTCTACATGGAACTAAGTTGATTTTGTGTGTAGATTTTAATGCTAGAATGAGACATCCTGATCATTTGTCATGTTTTAACAGTGACAAATGAACAGGCAAATTGTTCTGAGTTTCAAAGGATTCTACATTTAATAACAGAGGGAAATTTTTCTATCATTTTTGTGAAGCTAATAGTCTTATTTGTCTAAATACTTTATTGCCAGGAGATAAAGAAGGTAATTTTACTTTCCGTGCAATCAATGGAGCCAGTGTAATTGATTTCATAATAGTGTCACAAGAAATATACTCTCATGTTGTAAATTATTTCTGTCTTATCGGAGATAGGCTCAGACCACTCACCTGTTCTTGTAATAACCTTGCTGATTTCATCCAGAATTCCTAATAGTCAATTCTTTGGTAAGCATGCAATATGGAGAGATGAATCTAAATCTTCATTTACTGTTACATTAGATATTAGCAAGGTTAGGCCGAAGTTTTAAACGCAAACATTCAGTGTCGCTTTCCTGTAAGCCTAGAAGTTTGACAGTGGCGTTTGGAATGTCAAGCATGATTCCACTGACTACATTACATTTAGTGGAGCACTCCCTCTGACCTGTAGCATTAAATTCTACTGGCTTGAGGTACTCCTCTTTTAATTAACCCTGCTTCGCAGGTTCCACTGACTATCCAAACACCATTGTCAAACTTCTAGGCTTATAGGAAAGTGGCACTGAACGTCTGACGTACACGTTTTCGTGTTTAAAACTTCGGCCTCAACCTCGCTAATGTTTATCACAAGAATATGGAGGAAATCCTATGATATCAATATCTGCCAGACTGCCTGTTAAACACATGATAGGCTTAGTGAAGAGAGTGACACAACTCCTGATCATCGCGCAATTGCCAGAAAAAAGTATGATAACTTTCTTATTTTTCGTCTCCGGTAAAATATCGATTGAGCTGAAATAAAAGGTTTTCTATTAGCTAGTGACAGTCATCTCCTGGAGAGATAGGTTAGGTTTCGTGGACAAGCCATAAAGCAGCGTATAGTCTCACAGCCGAAGCGGCGAGTGAAGCGAGGCTTCAGCTCCCCATAGGCTTAAACTGCGATCGTTCCATCACGTGATTCATTGACATCACAACCGACCATACATTAGAATTATGCACCAGGACTAGGAGAGGAGTTACTTGTTTTATTTAATGCAAAGACACTTTATTCAGCGAGAGCGGAAAGTCAACTGGCAATTAATTAGATCAATAGAGGTAAAAGGGTGGGCAGTGTGGTGTAGATAGGGGGTGTAGTACATTCCGCACTGAATGGCAATGTTGCTTTTGCCACCAAGCGATAGCACACGTAGCAAAGCGGCAACTTTTGCGCTATTATTTAGAAAGTTAATTTGAGTATTTGCAGATCCTCAGTGCTGGATCCACCTGGATTGCTGGATGGGGTATCCAGTGATTGCAATCCCTAGTTGAAACCCATGAAATGATTAAAGTTGTGAAATAACTTATTTTTTGTATTTCTTATTTAAAGAAAATGTGATTATTGAAAGTGCTAGCCAGCAAGTAAATTTAAAAGTGTTTTGATATCCAACAATTAAAAACAGTAATAATATCAAAACTTTCTTCCATTCAAGTGTGTTGATTTTTGGGAGGTCATTCTTCCTTTCTTAAAGAGAATTAGAATTGCCTAATAATAATAATAATAATATTATTAATTAATGCTATATGGTAAAGAAATGCATTTAAAAGAAGCTAAGTTTGTTAAATTATGATATAACAGATTATTCATAGATAAGATATTTGCATGTAATTACAATGGTGAAATCTTCCAAACAGATGGAGAACAATGTTTTTTTAGGAATATAGTTTATAATGACAAACAACATAACCTTAATGACAAAGATGATAACATGAAACTTCTTTTCTACAATATTGCAGGTTTACATAATAAATACTGCTTCCCTAACTTCTGGAACTTGATATATAATATGGATATATTCTGTCTGGTGGAAACATGGCATACATCTTTGACAATTGAGTCAATTTTTTCTGATGACTATAAAATTTATCATCAAATAGCTCATAGTTGTGAGGGGCCTGGAAGACCTGGTGGAGGCTTAATTGTCGGACTCAGATCAGATGTAATTTCTAAGGTTAAACTGATATTTCAGACATAGCTTATACTGATTTTACAACTAGACACTGAGGAGTTAACTAATATATAGCTAATAGTGTTCTATATCCCGTCCGACAGTAATTATGATTATTTCAAAAATACTTTGTTGATTATAGAAGATTACGTTCTACATGGAACTAAGTTGATTTTGTGTGTAGATTTTAATGCTAGAATGAGACATCCTGATCATTTGTCATGTTTTAACAGTGACAAATGAACAGGCAAATTGTTCTGAGTTTCAAAGGATTCTACATTTAATAACAGAGGGAAATTTTTCTATCATTTTTGTGAAGCTAATAGTCTTATTTGTCTAAATACTTTATTGCCAGGAGATAAAGAAGGTAATTTTACTTTCCGTGCAATCAATGGAGCCAGTGTAATTGATTTCATAATAGTGTCACAAGAAATATACTCTCATGTTGTAAATTATTTCTGTCTTATCGGAGATAGGCTCAGACCACTCACCTGTTCTTGTAATAACCTTGCTGATTTCATCCAGAATTCCTAATAGTCAATTCTTTGGTAAGCATGCAATATGGAGAGATGAATCTAAATCTTCATTTACTGTTACATTAGATANAACAGGCTAAAAGTTCAAGCCTAGAAATCGATATGGACTTCAGAGGAGCAACACGAGTACGAGCCTGGATCAACCGCCATTTTACGTTGCAAGCATCTTGCTGTCTGAGATAGATACAAGCGGCATAAGAGTACTGTGACGCATCACAAAATACATGAAATGAAAATTGGACAGCTGCTCTATAGTCATTTACTATCCTTCTAGGAATTTTCACCTCTTTCAAAAATTTTAATTCTTTTATCCACCTTAACAATCTTCTTTCTAAGTCGTGCGGTAATGGAGTGTCCCAAGCTAACTTTCTTTTCCAACACTCTTGCATCAGAAGTTTTGGAATTAACGTCACTGGAGAAAGGAATCCAATTGGATCAAAAAGTTGACTCGCTAATGACAGAACCACTCTTTTTGTTAAAATTTCATCGTTAGGTACTCTAAAGTTTGCATTACAGTATAAAACNTCTGCCGCTAAATGACAGACAGCTCTTCTATTCTTTAAATAAAGTAAAGTCAGTGGAATCATGCTCGACATTCCAAACACCATTGTCAAACTTCTAGGCTTACAGGAAAGCGGTGCTGAGCGCCCAATATACACGTTTTCGCATTTAAAACTTTGGCCTCAACCTCTCTAATAAATCTAACTTCTAGAAGCCATAAGCAAATTTTGTTTTTTCCTAATTTATTCATAAGAATACAATATTTCCAATAAAAAAATATAATTAACATTTTAAATATAAGTACATTAGTACATTAGTTACTAAAATCGTCACTAAACATCTTTTGACTACTGAGACATACTTAATTTTCCTTATACACTAACATTTAGTGTATGAGGAAATAAATGTCTCAGCAGTCAACTGTATTTAGTGATGATTTTAGTAATTATTTTTTCTGGTGTATTGGTTCGATTTGTTTATAAGTTAGTTATAAGAAGCTTATTGGTAATTAATGGCATTATAACTTTTTAGTATTCTAGAGTAAGATTTTTGTTAGATTTTATTATATTATTGCATGGTAATATTTAAGTGTTATCTTATTAGAGAGGTTGAGGCGCACGTTTTAAACGTGTAAACGTGTACGTGTGACGTTCGGCGCCGCTTTCCCGTAAGCCTAGAAGTTTGACAATGGTGTTTGGATAGTCGCTGGAATCACGCTCGACATTCCAAACACCATCGNAAGTTGACTCGCTAATGACAGAACCACTCTTTTTGTTAAAATTTCATCGTTAGGTACTCTAAAGTTTGCATTACAGTATAAAACGTCCTCTGAAATATCCCAATTCAATCCTAGCACACTGACTATTTCATCGTGCTGGATTTCCAAAGTTCTCAATGTCCTTTCGTCGCCGTCGCAAACCGGTGACGTCTCTGTTTGTATACCATTGTATACCCAACCTCTTAAATCAAAGCATGCTAAACGCATGATTTCTCTAGACTGCCTTATAAAATCCATCAGCTCCTCCTTGGACTGACAACTCATAACGCAATTATCAACATACATCAATTTCTTAAGTTTTAAAGCTGTTTCTTGCAGATGATGTGGAACATGGCTTAAGTGATAATTTAGAGTGGCTCCCAGGAGAAAAGGACTCGAGTTTACTCCAAATACTACCCTGCGATGTCTGAAAACTTTCAATTTCGCAGGGTCGCCACCCTCCCACCACAAAAATCTGAGAAAGTTGCGATCCGCTTCACTTATCTCTATCTGCAAAAAAGCCTTTCGAATGTCAGCTATTACTCCGTATTCAAATAATCGAAATTTATTCAGGATACTAGGTATTAGTTCAATGTAGTTAGGACCTTTTGCTAAACAATCATTTAAGGAGACATTGCCCCTTTCTTTAGCGGAGGCGTCGAAGACTGGACGAATCTTCGTCGTGGAATGCTCTTTGATGACAGCTCTATGTGGAAGGTAATGACAGTTGGTCTCCTTCACTTTAACGTTTTTCACTTCTTCTATTATTTGATCTTCAAGCCATTGCTCGAAGACTCCCTCATAGGCATCAACCAGGCCCTTCTTTTGTAAAGTCTTCACTGCTGATCTTAATCTTCGCTCGGCTAGAACCTTATTATTTGGTAGAGCTTGGCGACCTTCTATCCAAGGCAAGGATACCATATACCGACCATCACTGTCTCTCTTCAGTGTCTTTTCAAAATGTTCGATAGATGCTTGTTCCAGTTCCTCCTTTGATTGTTTTTCGGCAGGGTCCTTTATTCCAAGAATATCTAATTCCCAAAGATCAGGAATTCGCAAATCTCCAATTAACATCGAAGTGACAATCAAGTCTTCAGTTGGTACGGAATGCTCCTTTGCACATCCTAAGATCGTCCAACCCAGCTTCGTTTCAATAGCAGTTAATCCCGATTTGAGTCTCTGGATTCCTCCCGTCATCAGTTTGCCAGCAACATCTGCCCCTATGAGCAGTTCGATGGGACCTTGACAATCACTCAAGGATATCCCCATATTTGACAACTCATCCTGACACAGGTCCTGGGAAACTGGGGGAATGGTTAAACAAATGGTCGATTGGTCTAATACATCGAAATTACAACGATATTTATCGTCTATGCACGAGAGGTGTACCTTGTACACATCGTGTTCGCAAATATCCGTACAAGAACCTCCAAACAACGAATGTTTCAGATTTTCCTTTCTCATTGGTTGGTAACCGACTCTTTCCGCAGTGCTCTTCAAGATATAGGACCTCTGAGAGGCAGTATCAATAATTGCACGGATTTTGAGACACCTTTCCTCTCCCCTCAGAATCACAACCAAAGTCTGTAGCAAAACACGTGGAGTTGATGACACATTAGCCAATGCCTGCTCACATACTGTGGAGGCGCCGTCACCTTCACCAACAGAAGTGTTGTTGGGAGATACCTTTCGGTTATTCCTACAGAGAAGAACGTGATGCGGTTTGCCACAAACTGTACAACTGCACTTTGCCCTACANTGACAATTAAAAGTAGTCTATACTTACCGATAAAATGGAAGCAAACGAAACCAAATTGAAAAAACAATCGAAACGAGATAATTTTGATCCCACAATCTGAAAATCCAAACGTTCGCAGTAACAATGACCGACCGCTCGCAACAATAAACCTCTGACAATTTGTTATTACAGGGATTTATTGTTGCGCTGCCACGAAATTTAATATTAAAAGTATGGCCAAATGCGTGATTTGCGCGCAATATGACCATACTTTTAATTCGTAATTTTTTTTGTCTTTTATATAGTCGTACATTAATGTTAACATCAATACGTACGCAGAAACCTAATATTCTGTATAAACTTAAATATAAATTGCGATTGTATCACGACTCTTACAACCAGAAAGAAATTAAATTTCAAGTGTACAAACCCCAATTTGATCTAACTTAGTAATTTAGTTAAGCTGCTGCAGGGCGCTTTAAGCTATTTCCTGTTTGGTGGGAAACCTTCAATTTTTGCACCTATCGGCTTACACGCGCGTACTCCCCACAAGAATTAGAATCTCCTGAAAAAAAGCCGGTAAGAAGGGCGCGAGCTAACCTTTCGACATTTTCGGTTCTCACATAATTATCAACAAATGACAATTACTTTCTTTAATTTTTGAAAGATTTATAGCGCTGAAAAATGGCTCAAATATTTTATGTACTGTACGCTGCCAGCTTGACCGCTCTGTCGTTCAGCCTGCAAGCAGGGACTTTAAATAAGCAGAGCTTTCTCGTTGCTCGCTTTAGAACCATTTCGCTATTGCTATTGCGAACGAATATAACTTAGTAGCGAGCTTTAAAAATTACTTTCAGATGCCTATCTTTTCCCCAAATATAGTCGATTACATTGACATCACAATGATATACAGGAAGACTTAATGCTGGTGGCACACTGCTTCACAACACAGTCGAAACAGTTTTAAGCATTTAAATTTGCGAGTTTCAGACGTTTGATCTTAGGTACTGTACGTAAACCGTGTGAATATGGAATTCTATTTACTGTAAGCCAATCCGTGATGTCTTGTTTGGCGTTCAGTTAGGACACTTGTTTATTTGAAAGGAATGACAAGAGTCATTGTCTANAAACAACGAATGTTTCAGATTTTCCTTTCTCATTGGTTGGTAACCGACTCTTTCCGCAGTGCTCTTCAAGATATAGGACCTCTGAGAGGCAGTATCAATAATTGCACGGATTTTGAGACACCTTTCCTCTCCCCTCAGAATCACAACCAAAGTCTGTAGCAAAACACGTGGAGTTGATGACACATTAGCCAATGCCTGCTCACATACTGTGGAGGCGCCGTCACCTTCACCAACAGAAGTGTTGTTGGGAGATACCTTTCGGTTATTCCTACAGAGAAGAACGTGATGCGGTTTGCCACAAACTGTACAACTGCACTTTGCCCTACATGAAGAAGATATGTGATTCAGTTTTAAGCATTTAAAACAAGCTCCTCGCTTTATAAGGATTTGTTTCCTTTGATCTAAAGTCAAATTTTCCGCCTTCCTGCACTCAGCACTAGCATGAGATTTCTCACAGAATACACACTGCTGATCCCTAAATGGTTTCTCTTGAGCAGAAGTCAAAAGTTCCATTCCAGTTGGCACAGTCTTGTTATAGGAAGAGGTAGCCTTAATTTTACCTTGTACAACCTTCTTGGTTTTGTTTTGAAAGCCAAACCCACTTGTGGCTAAGGAAATTTTCTCCTCACTTTCAATTTCGTTACGCAAAAACTGCATCAGAGTTTCTAATTTGTTGAAATTCTCTTTTCCAGACTTGAGTAGCATCGAATTTAGGTGTCTTTCCCAAATTCTCAGGAGATCAGTCGGTAAGCTAGATTCAACTAAAGGATAAAGCATTGAAGCACACTTATCCGTAGTAACACCAAGCATTTTAAGGGATCGCAGTTGTGTCTCGATACGATCATAAAGTTTCACAATTGGCAATTTGTGCTCTTGCACTAACGCATTATTTAGCACTAGACTCAGGAGTTCTCTCACGTAAACCTCGATGAGCACATCTTCTCTTCCGAAACGCGAATTTAAACACTCAATTGCTTGAGGGTAATGCTCGGCTGTTACGGGGAACGATTCGATTACTTCCCTGGCCCTTGAGCCCTTCAGAGTCGACTGAATAAGATATTGAAATTTATCCAAATCCGAAATATTGGGATCTTCATGTATTTTCTTAAATAGTCCCCAAAAGGAAAGATAATTTTTCAAATTGCCATCAAATTTTTGCAATTCAATCTTTGGTAGCTTAAAATTTCCCTTAGAACAGCCGGCTTCGCTTTCACTTCGTGTTTCATCTAGCTCCTTCGACGTATTCAAACGGCGCTCTAGTCTTGTTTTCAAGTCTACGAATGTACCATTGTAATTCTCAATACCCTCAATTTCCTCATCCAACATCTGTTGAGAACACTTCTCATCCTTTTGTAACTTATCTAATATTTCTTTGTCGATGGTTTCTATTTTAGAATATTTTTCTTTCAACTGGGCCAAAAACCCAGCACACAAATCGAAATCCTCAACCTTCGACGTCAAAAAATCCTGTACCTTGGTAACGAACTTTGTGAAAGCGCCTCGGTAGGATCCACGTAGTCTGATCGAGGGCTCCATTACGTAAATCTTACTAATTAATCCAAATAACAAACGTAGACAAGGATAGACATAGAGAGAACCTCGATCTAAGTTCAAATGGAAAAAATCTGAGATGTATTTCCACCAAATCTTTCAATTATCACTCACTTTCCACATTAAGTGAGTGTTTCCAAATGTAAACAATGTCAGAGAACAATCGGAGAATATTTATCTATACAATAGCTTCGGGTAACCTGAGTCCCTATTCGGGCGCCATTATGTCGCGTCAGGCCGATTCTTGTCTCTGGTGATGAGTAAATTAATTTCGTAAGTCTCACCTGACCGTCTCGTTCGTACTCCAGGTTCCCGTCGTATCTTCAACCAAAGAAAAGTTCACCAAGTTTGTCTTTTTGATTTTATTTACACAAAACCAACAAACCTTCTATATACAATGATTCAGTAGGAAAGAGCGTCCCGCTCTATATTCTCGCGCCTTTTTGTCACTCAACACCACCAGCTTGGTGTTGCCAACTCTCCAATAATATTAAACATTAAATAAAAAAAACTATTAAAACTGCCCGCCATCTAGCGGGATGGACGGGTCATTAACTATCGGTCCAAGGTCACACGCACCGGCGCCGACTGAGTACGAAAGTAGAGATCCGTATCCGCGGATCTAGACACTAATGATCCGTATCTGTATCCGTATCCGCGGATATACATTTTTAACGATCCGGCACATCACTAGTTATAACGCTTGTAATTTGAAAAGTTTTCCTCTTCGCATCTAATTAATCGTAACGTACTGTAGTACGTATAGTTTCCTTTAGTTATCTTTTTAGTGTCCAATGAAAGTTTATTGGGTATTAATAAATACAGAAATAAATTACATAATGTATTTTCTAGAATACAGTAGATCCCCCTATAACGCGATAGATACGTTCCGCTTTATAAGAATTTCGCATTGTAGGAATCCTTAAATACATGAGCCAATCACAGTTCGACACGTGCGAAGTTTACGGGCTACGGATGTTTGAAAGGTTTTCTTCCATAAAATTAATCTATTCTAGACTAATTCGATTCAATATTTCCAAAATACATATAATTTTTTTGGGAATAATTGGTATAAACTATGCTATAAACAAAAAATTGTAGGATTATTTACCGAGTGTGCACCGTTCGACGTCGCCATTGCTTAAGCTTGTTTTCGTCGCAGAGTAGTGCACGAAACGGCGGCCGCTATTTCTGATAAGTTATATTTCTGCGAAAAATTCGTTGAACTTTGGAGAAATCATTAATACAAATAATTTTTATGGCCGTTGAATAAGAAATGTTTCTTGCACAAGAAATGTATAAAATTACAGTGTTGTATTAGACTTACGGTACCTAATTTAAATACTGTACAGAGGATAGTAAACTCAACTTACTCGCCTAAACTTTCCGTAGTGCGGTGGGAAGTGTATATATAGTTATAATAAAGTTAAAATAAATTAAGTTAATATTGTACAGACGATAGTAAACTCAATTTACCCGTCTAAACTCTCCATAGCGTGTAAGTAGTTCGGCTGCTCGTCTACTGTTGGTCCAGATTCGACCAATCCTGTCGCGACACGAGTCGGCGATGACGTTTTACCGCGTTTTACGCGTCCCTTTTAGCGTCTTTATACGAATACTGTCGCAATTTTTTCGCCGCGTTATAGGAATTCGCATTATAGAAACCCGCGTTATAGAAGGTGTACTGTAATGCTAATTCTTTTACAGATTTGTATCAGAATATGAATTTGAAGTTTAAGACTATTTACAAAAATTATATTTTCGAGCCTTTTGTTATTATCTTTCATACTATCACAGAAGTAACAATATATTGGATTGGATTTGGCAGCATATAATTTCATTTTAAGAATGAAATATGTCACTTTCAATAGTGAAATTTTTCTTCACAATGAAAAAAACTTTTATATAACAAGTATTTATACATAAAATTGCTATGTATCGAAACTCATTTCATAATAGTATATTATCGGTAAGATAACAGAAAGAAAATGAAGACGAAGGAAAGAATAAAAAAGAGACATTTAGACAATAATACAAGAAATAATGGGTATTCATAATGTGCGTGTACAAGAAGAATGTGCTGGTGTTGACGAATTTGCAACAGAGAAATTTCCAGATGAATTTTAAAAATGATGTTATGCCGTTGAAGTGTTATTCAACTCGGACGAATCAGCTTTATTCTGGAAAACACACCCAATAAAGCCTATTTGGAAAAAATGAGAAAACTCAACTCCAAGGGTCGTCCTGGTCATTTAACAAAAAGGATTGGATCGATGGAATAAAGTAACGTAACACAAAGATGATCTGCCAAGGGGCGATGCCTCCCGAAAGGACTTTCTATGGAAAACTTGTTTCTTTTAGATGTTAGACACGTGAAAAACAACGTGGCCGTCTTATTTGTCAGGCGCAAAGCCATGACCAATTAGTGTTTGGCCACTGGTGGAGACAAGAAACTTTTGAAGCAAAAGTCTCTTACCTGTTTTTCAGAAAAAGAACTCTCGGCAACTACAAACTTGCGTGCATTTCATTTATAAGTTCCTGAAAACTGCCTTTATATTGTTTGACTTTATTTGTAATTCCAGGAAAATACGAATGGTAACTAACGACAATAAAATTACACAAGTCACATAAAGTTCAGTCGTTTAGACCCTCCGGGAAATTTTTTAAAAATTTTTGTATGTTTTTTAAGTCTCGAAAGTTTTTGCAAAAATTTTTTCCCGCTCGAAAAAATTTTATCGCGATTTTAATCTACCTTTAATGACACGCGATTAACACTTAATTGTTATATTTATTAGTGTTGCAACGAATAGTATAATCGGCCTCAGGCCGCATACCGAATATTCGGCCAGGAGTGTTGCCGAATAGCCAAATATTCGGCCATACTATTCGGCTTGATTAACGCACGTACGAAAATTGGCGCGCAAACTGCATTATGGCAAGGACCCCGCTCTCTATTGGCCCGCTGTCACTACGTTTCGCCAATCGCATTAATTCTTGACAGTTGAAGCGGACAGACACGAGCGTCATGGCAGTATGTGATAAGTGATGATATCAAATGTGGATAACAATGAAATGACCTACAAGTATAAATAACGGAAAAAGAACAGAGAAGGACCGCGAAGTGAAAATGTGAAAATAAATATGAAATTGTGTTGATAACATAATGGAACAAGAGGAAGCTTATTGGCGCAAAATTCGCGGCCGTCAATGCCAAACAATTGTTGTCATAGACTTCGGAAAGCTAAATGCTTGTAATGAAAGTCACTTAGCGTGCACGGGCGAAAGCCTGGGGCCGTTCGAGCTACCAAGCTGTCTCGAATATGTGAAAACATAACTGTAACTTATACCAACGTCCTATCTGTCTCTTTTCTCCGTTATCACCAGGCTATGAGTCACGTAATTGTGAAATGGGAAATCTACGACGAAAAAGTGACGAATAGAAAGTATCGTGAGCGCGTATTATGATGTATGCATAGGCTTACGTGGACTAGAGCGATAGAAAAAAGAGAAAGGGAAGAGCAAAGACGAGCACTTATAAAGAAGGATAGGCAGGGTCAGACCCTCACTGTCAGATGTGTGACGATTCTCGAACGAATAGGTTGATCTTGATAATTATAAATTGCTAATTTTTGTAATTATAAATTGTGAATACATGTGACTAATATTATTTTCTTTTTTATTTTGTGCATGTTATAAGTTATAAATAAATATAAACAAAAAACACTAACATTAAACCTAAATACCAAAATGATTAATTTACTGTGTTTTTGTTATTTCTTATTCCTGTTTTTAGGTATTCGGTATTTGACCGAATAGCGAAAAATAGACCGAATAGGCCGAATACCGAATTGTAACCGAATATTCGTTACATCACTAATTTTTATGGAATTTTTATATCAAATTTCATTCATCGTTCTAAAGTTTTAGTGCACGGATTTTACTTCGGTAAAGTTATTTAAAGCTACTTTCTGATATCAAATACTTTAAACCCTTCTCCTCCTGTAGATTTTATCAGAATGTTCCGCGAAAGGCGATACCATCTGTTTTCAAGGTCTTCCAGCTGTAAACAGAATTTCTGATCGGCGTCAGATTTCGAAGAAAGGCGAGACAATAAAAAATAAAATTTGAAGTTTTTCCTTCAAAATTAACGCTTATCTTTCGTTTATTTTTAGTTTTAAGTAAGATAAAGCGGTTAAGGAAAATATGAGAACAAAGAAAGGACACAAAAAAGAGGAAAGGACAAATATTTTTTACCCTTTTCCTTAGTTGAAATAGATGGAGTGAGATATAAAATAAAAAGACGAGGTTTAATCGAAGTAACAAATAGGAAGACTTTGCGAAGATCTTGTACGATGGAGCCGAATGGCAGGTAGATAAGAGGTTAGTTTAAGAACTTCTTTAAAAGCAAACCAGTGACGTCTCTGTATTGTTAGTAAGGATTACGTGGAACTCGTCAGCGATTTGTACGATGGGACGGACGAAGAAATGTTAGTGGCATCGCTTTCTCCTGTTGTCATTTTGCACGGACTTCTAGATCTTAAAGAAAATTGGGAAAAAATAGCTAAAGATATTGCAGATATATCTGTTAGGAAGGTAAAATATATTACATTCGTTATATCTTTTGTTATGTACTCGGTTAGAGAGAGATTAGTGCATGGGCATACGCAGAAAATTTTCCAGGGAGAACTTGGAGACAAATAATTACACCAATAAGTTTTTATTTTATTTTTGGAGGGTTTTTATGACAGCCATGAAATTATAAAACAGTTAAAGCAACCCGTGATCGAAGGTTTAAGTACAATCATTATTTTTATGATTGTAATTTGTGGAATCTTTACTCGATCCCACGGAGGAACAAGTGTCCCGTTTGTCTTCTCTGCGGATGCCCATGGACTGTGTGTTTTACTGACGTAGGTTTATGTTCTGGATATGAGAAATCACGGAGATAGTCCTAAAATCTCAACTATGATGCTCGAAGAAATGGTTAACGACGTGGAAAATTTTTTGAAGAAGATCAATGAACCGGTTGTTTTAATTTGGCACAGTCTAGGAGGCATTGTTGCCATGGAACTAGCTTTCCAGAAGGTAAACTTGTAATTAAAATACTTAAGAGGTTTTAACGAAATCTGAAATAATAATTTTCGGTGTTTTCAGTCTTATCTTCTCAAAGAATTAATAATAATAGATACTACTGCATTGAGAATTCCAACGATGGAAGAAGAATTGTTTTCTTATATGTGTTCCTTCTTAAGAACAGTTCTGACCAATATAACACCAGATAGCTTCTTAAAAATGAAATCTATTGTAGAAAATCGGTTGAAAGGTATTATCAAGGTAAGTTTTAATAAAGTGGATTAAACCTGTAACGATGTTCATATGTAACAATTACAAGCGGTTGAACACGATTAGCTTTTTTATTGCAAACTGTAACTTAAAGTAGATTTTAAATTCTGTTCAACACGTGTTATGAGATTTTATTTTTAAAAAAATTTTTACGTTAATAATTTCTGTAAAAGGCAAAACACTTAATTTTAAGGGTAGAGACGTGTTTCTGAAGAAACAGCTTAAAATTCATACAAGTAAAACTTTTATTTAAGTCTAATTCTAGTCGAGATATGTCCCATATTCTCCTCTATCTCTACAGCCCCTTGAGTTCTGTACTCCAAAATTTAACAGCATCAATGTCCTTTATATACAAGTCGCCATGCCAAATTTTGTTTCTTAAACTTTACCCCATTCTGAAATATTAAACGTAATAGAAGCCAACAAACACCCAAGTATACACAAACTTTACATTTTTTTTTTTTGTTTCGGGAGTGTCAAAACGTAGAAAAATACAAAAATTCGGGGACGGTGAAAATTTGACAGTTCCCCATAATTTCTCTTGTGTTATTTGCACTATATTTTAAACTATAGATGTAAAATATATGAATTTTATAATATATTAGTTATGTAACTAAGAGTTATAGAACTGTCCTCATGATTCGTAAATAATTTGAGTCAGGAATTGGTACACATGCCAATGAAAGTTTCCTCTTGTATTTCAATTTTTGGGTTCAGGGAGAATCAAAATGTTGATAAACGTTGAAAATCATAATAGTCCACTCCAGCACGGAAACTTCAATTTTTGGGTTCAGGGAGAATCAAAATGTTGATAAACGTTGAAAATCATAAAAGTCCACTCCAGCACGGAAACTTCGTAAGTTTACTGCTGTGGCATGATTGTAAGGCAATCAATGGCTTAGCCCGGTCTTTGGATCGGGCGATGAGGGCTGTTGTTTGTGAATGGTCGCTACTTGCTTGGCACTTGGGCTGGGGAACTTGTCTCCCATCCAATAGAGGTGCTGTATAGGAGTAGTCGTACCGGATGCCAGATCGGTTTTACCGGTTGAGGCGTTCAATAAACTTTATTAACGTCGTTGTTTTGCAAAATCAATATTATATCAATATCAAAGCAAATATCGATATTATAGAAACAGAAATATGGAAGTCCATTAGGAAGAGTTACCCTCTGAGAGGATTTTACGGAAACGACACCTTGTTGATATACGGATCTTCCGATTACGTTTTGTAAGTAATTCCAATATGTGTTGGCTTCTACTGTTTTTTCTTTGTAACAAGGTATACACAGCTACACTTCCAGGTATACACAGAATGAACTCTACTCCATGTCGAAAATTCTGAAATTTTAGACATCGTTCCTCATCAAACATGTTTAATGTAAATAGATAGACCCAACGACATAAATCGTGTTTCCATGTTTCAATAGTTAGGTATAATAATTTCCTGCCGGATAGCCAAGGTGGTATTGTGTTGGTTATAGTAATGGACCTATATAACGTAAGTGGTCGCGCGAGAGAGAGTTTACAATAAATCGAGCGTTGGCGTAAACACCTGGAACTTGGTGAGATCCTCTATAGGTGAAGGTGATGGGTCGGACTGTCTGTTATTTGATTTGTGCCGACCACTGGAGGAGGTCGGCACGTTGGGAACATTCGAGATGCTGTGGCTATTTCGTGTTCGAAGATGAAGGTAATCCGTACTCAGAGGCATGTTCTATGTTAGTTGAGGACCGGGTGATGACTGTAACCATCGGAGGAACGTGTGGGACTTGTTGCATTAAGGAGAAATGGCCCCATTCAGCCGTCAGTTCTGATATTAAAACGATAGCGCACGGTCGAGAGGTCAAAGGATCAAGAAAAAGTGTCGCTTTCTCCGCCGTGAACGTGCAAAATAAGTTCTCAGGGCGTAAAGGATAATCAACAACGTTTGTTGTCAAAATAGGTATGATGAAATCGAAAAAAGATTTTCGTTAAAGTTCGGGTTCTCACAATTACAATAAGACAATGCAAGATATATGCAATTACAATATTTTATTTAGAAAAAAATTCAGCTACGAGTTACTTAACTTTCCCATAAACAACATTAAAACTGATGTGTCAGCTCTGTTACGATATTTTATTTAAAAAACTTTTTATAAAATTAATTAATATAAAATAGCAAAAAGCTCAATTCTGAGAGTAGGGACGGGTTTTATAAAATAATGTAAATGCTAATAAGGTGTAAAACTTCATTTAAGTTCGACCCAAATCAAGATACGACACACAATCCCCTCTCTATCTCCCCATTCTCTCAACCTTTAATACCAAAATTTAATAGCATTAATCCTCTAATACACAAATCTCCCTGCAAAATTTCAGGAATTTTTCACAAAAGAGGCAGAATTGTGCCCCCATACACACTATCATCCATACATACAGAAAAATCTGCAATTTTTTTTTCTCTCTCTCGACGTTTGAAGGTTCCCTGAGTCCAAAAATCTTGGAGGGTCATTTTTGATCGTTCTCCGTACTTTCCCTCTGTTATATATAAAACATCCGGGAAAGTAAAAATATATTTTGAAGGATGTGCGTGCCCACCAGTGGCCAAGCGGTTTTCGTACCCTGAACACTAGGGTTCAGAGTACGAAGGTCGTGGGTTCGCACCTTTCTCGGACGGGCTAGCCACGTGGAGTTTTCCGAGTTTTCTCCTCGTCTGTAACGCCTAAAAAAGGGCCAGTTTCCATTAAAAAGAGCTCTCGGAAGGTATTTTCCTAGGAAGATCGCCCAAGTGTTCCCTTGCCATAACTTAAACAGAAAGATGTGTAATTTTTTTCATTTCTAGATTTCAAGTTTACGAAAAATCATCATGTCGAATCTGATACAAGTTGACAACCAATTGAAATTGAAAGCAAATATCGATATTATAGAAACAGAAATATGGAAGTCCATTAGGAAGAGATACCCTCTGAGAGGATTTTACGGAAACGACACCTTGTTGATATACGGATCTTCCGATTACGTTTTGTAAGTAATTCCAATATGTGTTGGCTTCTACTGTTTTTTCTTTGTAACAAGGTATACACAGCTACACTTCCAGGTATACACAGAATGAACTCTACTCCATGTCGAAAATTCTGAAATTTTAGACATCGTTCCTCATCAAACATGTTTAATGTAAATAGATAGACCCAACGACATAAATCGTGTTTCCATGTTTCAATAGTTAGGTATAATAATTTCCTGCCGGATAGCCAAGGTGGTATTGTGTTGGTTATAGTAATGGACCTATATAACGTAAGTGGTCGCGCGAGAGAGAGTTTACAATAAATCGAGCGTTGGCGTAAACACCTGGAACTTGGTGAGATCCTCTATAGGTGAAGGTGATGGGTCGGACTGTCTGTTATTTGATTTGTGCCGACCACTGGAGGAGGTCGGCACGTTGGGAACATTCGAGATGCTGTGGCTATTTCGTGTTCGAAGATGAAGGTAATCCGTACTCAGAGGCATGTTCTATGTTAGTTGAGGACCGGGTGATGACTGTAACCATCGGAGGAACGTGTGGGACTTGTTGCATTAAGGAGAAATGGCCCCATTCAGCCGTCAGTTCTGATATTAAAACGATAGCGCACGGTCGAGAGGTCAAAGGATCAAGAAAAAGTGTCGCTTTCTCCGCCGTGAACGTGCAAAATAAGTTCTCAGGGCGTAAAGGATAATCAACAACGTTTGTTGTCAAAATAGGTATGATGAAATCGAAAAAAGATTTTCGTTAAAGTTCGGGTTCTCACAATTACAATAAGACAATGCAAGATATATGCAATTACAATATTTTATTTAGAAAAAAATTCAGCTACGAGTTACTTAACTTTCCCATAAACAACATTAAAACTGATGTGTCAGCTCTGTTACGATATTTTATTTAAAAAACTTTTTATAAAATTAATTAATATAAAATAGCAAAAAGCTCAATTCTGAGAGTAGGGACGGGTTTTATAAAATAATGTAAATGCTAATAAGGTGTAAAACTTCATTTAAGTTCGACCCAAATCAAGATACGACACACAATCCCCTCTCTATCTCCCCATTCTCTCAACCTTTAATACCAAAATTTAATAGCATTAATCCTCTAATACACAAATCTCCCTGCAAAATTTCAGGAATTTTTCACAAAAGAGGCAGAATTGTGCCCCCATACACACTATCATCCATACATACAGAAAAATCTGCAATTTTTTTTTCTCTCTCTCGACGTTTGAAGGTTCCCTGAGTCCAAAAATCTTGGAGGGTCATTTTTGATCGTTCTCCGTACTTTCCCTCTGTTATATATAAAACATCCGGGAAAGTAAAAATATATTTTGAAGGATGTGCGTGCCCACCAGTGGCCAAGCGGTTTTCGTACCCTGAACACTAGGGTTCAGAGTACGAAGGTCGTGGGTTCGCACCTTTCTCGGACGGGCTAGCCACGTGGAGTTTTCCGAGTTTTCTCCTCGTCTGTAACGCCTAAAAAAGGGCCAGTTTCCATTAAAAAGAGCTCTCGGAAGGTATTTTCCTAGGAAGATCGCCCAAGTGTTCCCTTGCCATAACTTAAACAGAAAGATGTGTAATTTTTTTCATTTCTAGATTTCAAGTTTACGAAAAATCATCATGTCGAATCTGATACAAGTTGACAACCAATTGAAATTGAAAGCAAATATCGATATTATAGAAACAGAAATATGGAAGTCCATTAGGAAGAGATACCCTCTGAGAGGATTTTACGGAAACGACACCTTGTTGATATACGGATCTTCCGATTACGTTTTGTAAGTAATTCCAATATGTGTTGGCTTCTACTGTTTTTTCTTTGTAACAAGTTACTTGATTGTATTACTAGAGAAACGGACATCGAAGATATGAAGAAAATGTTTCCAAAACTGCAAGTCGTTCATACGAAAGAATGCAGTCACTGGATTCANACGGAAACGACACCTTGTTGATATACGGATCTTCCGATTACGTTTTGTAAGTAATTCCAATATGTGTTGGCTTCTACTGTTTTTTCTTTGTAACAAGTTACTTGATTGTAACATTATTTCTAGAGAAACGGACATCGAAGATATGAAGAAAATGTTTCCAAAACTGCAAGTCGTTCATATGAAAGAATGCAGTCACTGGATTCATACGGACAAACCGGACGAACTGATGCAAATTATCGTGCAACATCTCTCGAAGAATTGTTCTTCCTAGACAATGCATCCTGTAATTTTTGATACATTGTAAAAGTATAGAAAACTTTGTTACATAGTATGTACTTGAGAGAATTTTGTTCTGCGTGCTCATTACTTGGTTTTGTAAAGGGTGACACTTGCACTCAAAAGAGTTCTAGGTCTATACTTTAAGTGCAAAAATAAATCGAACTTTTAATATAACTTTTATAAGTAAAGATTAAAATTCACAGACAACTTCTGATGTACAGCCGATATTTTTCTACTGTTTCTGTCTGTGTTCAATAAGATCTTCTAGCAAGTCCATTATGGTATAGCTGACTTGTATGTAGGCAGGGTAAATAGTAAATTTATTCGGCAGACGACGTATGTACGTTAATACAGTAGAGCATGGTTGCACAGACTTATGAAGACTGGGGGCCACTCGGGCAAATCATGAACTGATGGCGGGCCGGCCGCCAGAAGTATAGGTAATTAAAGACAATAAAGAATTGATAATAATTTATTAAAATTCAAAAAGAATTTATTAATTTGAAGCGTGGCACTGCATAGTGCTTACAATCTTTTTTATATTTGGCTAAACAATAATATTCCTGATAATCATTTAATAATGTCTCTACTAATATCATTTAATAACACATTGTGCTAATTGATTTATTGTAGCTTGTATATCTTCAATGTCAAAAATGCTTCTTTTAGATACGAATTTATATGTTGTTATTCAATTACAGTCAAACCTCAGGTTTCGAATAGTTGTTCGAAAACCGAAACAAATTGTTTCTTAAATGTAGTTTGTGTTCGGGTGAATTTCATAAAAAATCTGATGCATTGTTACACATACGGTTCTGTCTTCAGTTAAAGAAATATTTAGTTTTTTGTTGCATAGAGGTAACATAAGGGGGTCTTCTAGGTCTGAAATTAAACCGTAAATGGATATTATCAAAACACTGAATAAACTGGATTTATTAGAAAAATAATATCAAGATGAAAACCTGTTTAGAAAATTAAGGGAAATCGAACAAATCCCTATGCAGATTACTCATTTCGTAGTTTTCATCATCGAAACCACGTACGTAAAGATTGATTTGACAAGAGGAACCAATTATCAGTATAAGGTTGTAGTATTTCAGATTCGTAGTTTTTGTTGTTTAACACTCAAATTATGAGGACTGTTCATATAAAAATTAATATTTATATTAATGATTTTATAACAAACAGATTGCTAATATTAAATATATTTATAAAATTCTAACTATGTGAAAATTTAAAGTACAACTATATTCTAGTGAACTTCTTAGTATTATCCTGTAATAAAACTTCTTTTGAGAACTTAATTTAAAATTTTATAATCTTAATCTTCATCCCTAAAACTTCTTGCAATAGAATTTCTAATTGAAATAGCTTTGGTGTTGTTTATCCCTATGACACAAATTCTCCCTGATGAACAATCAGACATGTTTTCTCTATTGGATCAACCCTCTCCTCACACAAATTATGTAATATACAACAAGTTTTAATTACAGTCGACCCCCTATAACACTGTTGATTATTCCGTTTTATACGAATTCCATGTTGTACGAGTGACTTAGATTTTACAAATACGTGAGCCGGGCCGTGAACGGCTCACGTATTTGTAAAATCTAAGTCACTCGTACAACATGGAATTCGTATAAAACGGAATAATCAACAGTGTTATAGGGGGGTCGACTGGTA